TAACATTAAGTGAAATTATTTTTAACTAGTCATATGTTCTGTTGAAAATCCAGCTTCGTCTTATTTTGTTTGTTGAGAGTAGCTGCTGGATAAAAGGGGAAGATAGGGAGGGAAAAAACTAAAACAAACAAACAAATAGAAAAAGCTGAAATTACATCAATAATGTAAAAAGAAAAAAAAAAACAATACTCACAATAAGAACCAATCTGTCCAGGTTCCACTGGTACCACCTAATAATAAGGTGGCGTTCATTAGTGACCATTGTTCCCAACTGGTCTATAGGGCGCACTGTATCAGTCGCCGTGTTGTATTTAACTTTCCAGTGCCTACAGCGTATAGCCCCGTCATACCCCTACTTATCCTGTCATCGCTGTCCCGTTTATTTCTCCCCTCTCTAAAAATGTCAAATTCTACATATGTCTGTGTTACACCCCTGAATAAGGACAGAAATAATCACGAGAGTGATTCAGTTGTGTTTCCTCATCAAGAGCGTTTAGTGTAATGAATCACATGTTTACAGAAATATAACAATGTACAAAAGTACACATTTACAACCGTCTTATCTGCTGGCCATCTTCTCTCACCAGAACTTCGACTGTTGAAATGTAATTCAGAAGAAGCTCGAGCATGTGAAATGGATCCAGGAGAACATGGACTTTTAGTGAGAGGTCTTCAGGATGGCAAAGAAAGAGAGACCAGACCAGTCTGAGACCAGACCAATGAGATGCTTTAACTGTCAAAGATTTGGACACACTGCTCAGACATGTAAGGGAAGGAGAAGGTGAGCAAGATGTGGGGAGGATCATGAATATGAAGTGCAAAAAAGGTATGCAACCAAAGTGTTGTAACTGTGGAGGAAATCACAGTGCTACATTTATTAAAGGAAATATTTCATTCAGAGCGGTTAGTAAAGGGAGGGAGGGAGAATTCATACTCATAGAAATGTGGACGGATGTAGGACAGATTACTATCATCAATTATTATAATAAAACAAATGAAAGCAAATACAGGGAGAGACTAAACACCATATGGTCTGGAGTGGAGATTTGAACTCACACAGCACATTGTGGGGAGGGAAAAGACAGAAAATAAATAATAGAACAACTTTAGGAAGACAGTCACTTGGTGTGTATAAATGATGGCAGAAGAACACAAATACATTTTCATACAGGAAACTTGGATATGAAGCTGGTTTCAAGAGAATTGGCAGGAATATGTGAGTGGGAAATATGTGAAGAAACAACAGTTGGAAGTGACCATTTTCCAATATTTTAGAATATATAAGATAAGATATCTTTATTGTCACTGTACAAGTACAACAAAATATCGTTGGAGCAAGCCTGTAGATGCCTAATATCAGAAATATACAAATATTTGGGATTTGTGGTGCATCGTGAAAACCAGTGACTCTCAATAATGCAGCAGGGGTTTGATTCCCAGCTTTGCTGAGGGTTATAGCTCATCATTTAAACATTTGAAACGAGAATCATATTTTACATGTAGCCTATTGAACACTCACTATCCAACTTCTTCTAAGCTATGGGCTATCTAAACTTCTTTTAGGATAGAATATGGTTCATAGCACAAAATGTCAGGCTAAGTATAAAGCTATAGCCTACTACAATCAGATGTGTTGTCCTCAACATGAGGTCATTTTTATTTTATATTTTATTGTGTCAGCTTGAAACCATACAACCATGTATTGTAGTCCAACAGGAATGTGCATGGTGAATCAAATCCCAAACAATCCATTAACCAATGAATAACCATAGAATGTAGTAAATAACACGTCTCACCTACAACTTTACAGACACATGTGTTATATAACAAAGAGCCAGAAATAAACACTACACCCTATATTTCTTCTACTGACTTCCGGCAATGTAGATAACAAAATAAAAGCAAGTATAATTAATGCTGCTCTAGTGTCAGTTCCTAAAAGTAAAGGAAAAACAAAGGAGAAAGTGGTTCCATGGTGGAATGAGGTGTGTAAAGTAGCAGTGAAAAACAGAAACAGGGCATTTAAAATACTGAAAAGAACTCTTAATTTCTAACATATGATACAGTACAAAAAATCTCAGGCAGAAGTCAGGAGGGCTGTAAGAGAAGCAAAAAGAACTTACTGGAGAACATTGTGTGGTACAATAGGGCATAAGACCCCAGTAAGAGAAATTTGGGGGATGATTAGAAGGATGAGAGGGGACAGAAGAGATTGGAATTATCCTGTTTTAAATGACGGAAAGGATGGTGCAATAACTAATAAAGAAAAAGCAGAATTAATGGTTAAAACGTTTGCTACAATAAACAGTTCTAATAATCTGAGTGAGGAAGCAAAAAAGTACAGGGTTAAAACGACATTTGAAAATATTGAAGCACTGAGTAAGAAAAATCATATTGTTGAAGATGAGATTAGTGTTCCTTTTACAATGGGAGAGCTAACAAAATCATTGGCTAAGTCTGGAATGAGTGCTCCAGGGAAATATGAGATATGTTATATCATGTTAAAGCATTTAAGTACAGAGGCACTTTTAACAGAATTAACAGATTGTTAATGTTGTATAATAAGGTATGGGAGGAAGGGAGGTTGCCAATTAGCTGGAAGGAGGCAGTGATTGTTCCTATAAGGAAACCAGGAAAAGATCCAAGCAATGCAGCAAACTACAGGCCAATCGCCTTAACATCACATATTTGTAAACTGATGGAGCGCATGGTAAATGAAAGAATGGTGTATTATCTAGAGAAAAGCGGGATGATGGCGGAATATCAGAGTGGGTTTAGAAAAGGGCGAGGAACTATGGATCCGGTGGTAAGCTTAGAAGACGTTGTAAGAAAAGCTCAGGTTACAAAAGAAACAGTAGTTGCAGTATTTTTTGATGTTGAGAAAGCATATGATATGCTTTGGATAGAGGGACTTTTGATTAAGTTACATCTCACGGGAGTCAAGGGAAGGATTTTTAATTGGATAATGGATTTTCTGAACAAGAGATCGATTCAAGTTAAAATAGGTGATGAAATATCTAAAAAGTATGTTGTAGAGAATGGAACACCACAGGGAAGTGTGATAAGTCAGATTTTATTTTCAATTATGATAAATGATATATTTGATAATATCCCAACAGATATAGGAAGATCATTGTTTGCGGATGATGGAACATTGTGGAAAAAAGGAAAGAATATACATTTCATTGTAAATATAATTCAGAAAGGGATCAGTTTAGTTGAGAAGTGGGGATTAAAGTGGGGATTTACATTTTCTGTGGAAAAAACAAAGATCATGTTCTTTTCTCAAAAGATAAAATTGGGGAGAATATTGGTTTGACATTGTATGGAAATAAGCTAGAACGTTTTTTAGGGGTATATTTTGATGTCTGGTTGACATGGAAGGAACACATAAGAAATATTGTTGATAAATGCAAAAAAGTAATAAATGTAATGAGAGGTCTCGTAGGAATGGATTGGGGAGCTGATGTTGCTGCCTTAAAATATATATATGTGGCGTTAATTAGAACTAGGATTGAGTATGGGAGTGTGGTATATGGATCTGCAGCAAAGACAACACTTGCAAAGTTAGAAATGATTCAGGCACAGGCTCTTAGGATATGTATTGGGGTAGTGAAATCATCTCCAATATGTGCACTTCAGGTAGAAGTAGGAGAGATGCCACTATGTTTAAGGAGGAAATAGGTATTAGCAATATATTGGCTGAACTTGAGAGGACATGGAGATAGTCACCCAACAAAATCAGTGTTAAAGGATTGCTGGGAAAAAGAGAAAACAATTAAGTCCAGTTTTGGATGGATCGGGGATAGAGTGGCGAGAGATATGGGAGTGTATGACAAGGATATCAGTCCAACTGTTTCATGGCCACCAGTTCCAATGTGGATGCTTGAGACAGCTGAAGTAGACTTGGAGTTACTAAAGATAAAGGAAAGAAAAAGAATTATTGATTTAGTTCGTGAATTCTATGAACACATAGAACAGAGATATGGAGCTACAAGTATTCACAGATGGATCTAAAGACCTTATGACAAATGTAACAGGATCAGCTGCGTTTATGCCAAAATTCAATGTTGAAGTAGTGAAGAGAACGTCAGATTTCCTAAACGTTTACACAGTAGAGTTGTACGCCATTTTAGTTGCATTAGAATGTGTTGAGCAAATGAAAGGAAGGAAAGTGCTGATATGCAGTGATTCAGTCAGCGCTTTATACAGTGTTCAATCAGGATCATCTCACAGTTGTCAAGATTTATAAAAATAAATCATATTTACACATTCCCAGGTGGTTCAACAGGGGACAGATGTGATGTTCATGTGGGTTCCAGCACATTCAGGTATAGCAGGAAATGAAAAGGTGGACAGGTTGGCAAAGGAAGCTGTAAAGAAAGAGAGGACTGATAATAACATCAAATGATCTAAGTCAGAGGGGAAACGAGTCACATGGAGTAAAATCAAACAGGAATGGCAACAATATTGGAACAATCAGACAAAGGGAAGAGATTTATATTCAATTCAGAAGGAAACATATAAAGTCAAATATAGAGGGAGCAACAGAAGAGAGGAGGTCGTAATGACCAGGTTAAGAATCGGTCTCAGTGATTTAAATAGCTCTCTACATATCATGAAAACATTCATCGGGTCTTTGTGAGATATGCAATCTAGCAGAAACAGTTGAACATGTAGTTAAATGTAGAAAGTATGTAGCACATAGACAGAACATGATGTCAGAAATGGAGAGAGAGGGACTCGTAAGAAGAGATTTCAAAAGTATTTTGGAGTGTGGGGAGAGAGGGAGAGGACGAAGATGCTTGTTTAAATATCTCTTGAGAACAGGTTTGTTGAGGAGGATTTAGGAATGAGTAATAATTAAATCCAGCAGATGGCAGTAATGCAACTTTTTGGATGCCAGCTGCCAATATCCAAAGAAGAAGAAGAAGACTTCCGGCAAGATGGAGGACCGGGTGCAGCATGTTTTCTGAGCTCCGTCTGCTTGTCCACTTTTACAAATACTTTACCTTCCAACTCAATTCTATGTGATCGTATGAATCTCTAATACACCATACCGACGCTTTAACCATAAAGTGCTCCGGAAACTGCAGCATGACGACGGAAAAGAAGCTCTCTTCAGCCCGCAGTAGCTCGGAGATTGACGATCACGATGATGTTAAGATGGAGGTCTCTACCGAGAGCTACAGAAGAAAAGACCCTTTCTCAGCAGCGAAGAACCCACCAGCAACTAAAAAGAAGGACACTGGCTCAGAGGAAGGTAGGGAAGGAATGAACGAAGTCCTGAACGCAATAAAACAGCTAACTGGAAAAGTGGACACGCTAGGTACACAGATACAGCAACACTCACTTATGCTAGCTAACATAGATAAAGCAGTTTAGTTCAATGCGGCACAAATAAAGGACTACAAAGTCCAGCTTCAGACCACAAGCCGAGAAGTGTCAACTTTAAAATGTGAACAATGCAGAGTTCATGGAAAGAGTCCTGGAACTCACTGCTGTCGAGTCAGCCCGTGTTTGATTTTTGCTGCGTATTTATCAGCGCCTTTACGGTAAACAAGAAGAGAGTCTGTGGACGCATGTGACACTGGACTGAAAGTAAACCCTTCAAAATAAAAGCCCGATGAACATAATAATGAATATGAAGTTAGTAGACACTGTGCTGTTCAGAATGGGGGGGGGGGGAGTGAAGGGGGGCTTCTCCTGAAGTCCACTGTCATCTCCACAGTCTTGAGTGGGCTCAGCTCCAGATGGTTCTGACTGCACCAGAGAGCCAGCTGTTCCACCTTCCGTCTGTAAGCAGACTCGTCTCTGTCCTCGATGGGACCGATGACGGTGGTGTCGTCTGCAAATTTCAGGAGTTTCACAGAGGGGTCCCCTGAGGTGTAGTCATTGGTGTAGAGGGAGAAGAGCAGTGGGGAGAGAACACACCCCTGGGGGGCGCCAGTGCTAATGGTCCGGGTGCTGGATGTAGTGCTTCATCTGCTGCCTCCTGTCAGTCAGGAAGTTGGTGATCCACTGACAGGTGGAGGCCGGCACTGTGAGCTGGGTGAGTTTACGGTGCAGGATGTCCCGGATGATGGTGTTGGAGGCCGAGCTGAAGTCCACAAACAGGATCCTAGCATAGGTCCCCGGGGAGTCGAGGTGATGCAGGATGTAGTTCAGACCCATTTTGACATGTTGGTAGGCTAACTGCAGGGGGTCCAGCAGGGGGGCCTGTGATGTCCTTCAGGTGGCTCAACACGAGTCTCTCAAAGGACTTCATGACCACAGACGTCAGGGCGACGGGCCTGTATTCATTGAGTCCTGTGATGGCGGGTTTCTTTGGGACTGGGATGATGGTGGAGCTTTTAAAGCATAAGGGCACTTCACATGGCTCCAGTGATGTGTTGAAGATCTGCGTGACGACGGGGGCCAGCTGCTCAGCACAGATATTGCTTTTATGTGGAATTTAATACGGGTGAAATCACATTGATATCTAGCTATCTATCTTTTCTGTGCTTTTATTTTGAAGTATCTACTTTCAGTTCAGTGCTGTTGCGGATGCAAAACTCACTTGCCAGCAGTCACAGGAGCAGCTGTGAATGCTGTTTCTCCTGACAGCATTATCGACAATCATCCAGAAGACAAAAAATAATTACAGTGTAAAATATCATTCAGAAAAATAAATTGGGACACTAAGTTATTTCATGTGACATGTCCAAAAAGGAGTGGGAAGAAGTAAACACCCCTTCTCCATCTATTCAGATAGCTTGTATTATATTTGTAAATTAAGATTATGATATAATATGAATTTTATTTTCATAATTTATATATGTATCTTTTCAATGTCAAGTTATAAATGAATGTATAAATTACGAATAATACAATAACAAAAACAACAGCAACACAAAGGGAGAAAAATGAAAATAGCAGCAACATGAATCCCTGCAGACACCTTATGGAATTCAAACCACTTCTTCCTCCCTTGACCTTGTGAAGATATTTTTTATACATATTTTAAAAATGTTTCATGTTTGTACTTTGTTTGAGTTCTAAATGTAAGTTGTTCCAGAGTTTGACCCCACAGATAGAAACACAAAATTATTTCTGAGTCGTTCGTACACTAAATCCTTGTGTCCTTTTTGCACTACATGAGAGATTTGTGGTTAAAAAAAGTAACTACCGTATTTTCCGCACTATAAGGCGCACCTTCAATGAATGGCCTATTTTAGAACTGTTTTCATATATAGGGCGCACCGGCACTACGTATAAAACTACGTTTTATACGTAGTGCATTCACAATAACTCAACGTTGTTCAAAGTTAATGTGCATATTCACAATATCTCCCAGCCTTGTTCAGTTGTAAACACGTAAAAGAAACACAGTCTGATACCGCTAATTCAAACGTTAGTGCATAACTCAACATTGTTCAGTTACGTATAACACGTAAAGCTCACTTTTTCAGTTCATTCCCCGTCCACGAATCCCTCGAATTCTTCTTCTTCAGTGTCCGAATTGAACAGTTGGGCGAGTACGGCATCCAACATGCCCGGCTCCCTCTCGTCATTATCCGAGTCAGTGTCGCTGAGCGCCGTGTACAACCAGTATGGATCAACCAATTAACCAATTGATCCATATATAAGGCGCTCCGGATTATAAGGCGCACTGTCGTTTTTTGAGAAAATTAAAGGCTTTTAAGTGCGCCTTATAGTGCGGAAAATACGGTAAGTAACTTTTACTTCAACTACATTTGAAACAAGCTACTTTTGCACGTCATGTTACTTAACTGAACATCAGATGGATCTATGCGGGTCAGAGGGTTCTGTTGACAGAGGGGACAACAAGTGAAAGACAGGAAGTCAACTTTCACCCAGGTAAAAGCCAGACAACTTGTGAAGGATGTCCATCTTTCCTTCATTGATCTCATCCACTGTGACTGACACTGCTTCTGCTCAGAGAGTTACTACTCATTTCATAGCCGTAGAAGCATTTCAAAGTGAGATAGAAAAATCCTAGAAACCAAGGTAGAAAGGTGAGGAGGTTCCTGTGGGGCTGATATTCTCTAAATTCATTTGAAAACACACTGTTTCAACCTCATTGACAGCGCAGTGCGTCAGCTTCACTATAGCTCAGCTCGCCCAACAGCAATCTCTCTCCCAACTATCGTAACAGATAATCCATTCATTTTCTTTAACAGAATTAAAATGACATCATCCATAGCAAAAAGTACACAGGACAGGATAGACATTCAGCATTAACTTATCATGCTTTTCTTGAGCATGTCAATTAAAATATTAAAAGTAGGGCTGTAAATGTTAACAAGTTATTCACAGTGAGATTAAGTCTGAAATGAATGCAAGTTGTTTCATGACAGTAGCTGCAGTGATGGAAAAGAACAGTGAAGTAATATCCCTCCTGTGACATCAAACATTTCACTTTTTGTTGATATATTTATGGGCTTTTGTAGGCCTTTATTTTAGAGATAGGACAGAATCAGAAACCAAGGAGAGAGAGTGGGAAATGACTTGTGGGAAAGGAGCCACAGGTCGGATTTGAACCCGGTCTGCCCGCTCTCCAGGACTTAATGATGATGAGGAGAAACCTCAGTCCTCACAGCCTTAGGCTACCGACGCCCTCACTTTTTTTTTACACAACCTCTTTGGCTGGTTTCATTTACTTTAACTTTTTTTAACATGTTGCTTTTTTCCGTGGTAAAGTTAATATAGTATCTTCAGTCTACAACAAGTTATTTATTTTTCTTTCAAAATAAAGGTAGGTTTGTATCCAAAAAAGAACTAAATAAAATTACAAAATAAAAGCATTAAAAACTTTTTTTAAATCCAAAATAAGTGAATTCCAAATATGATTAAACTGTGATCAATTCCAATTGACTATTGATTTACAGTGATTAAAAATGAAATAATTTGACAGTCATTAATATTAAAAAGCGGGTCTACGTACTTTTAATGTTTGTTTACTGTGTCCTGCAGAAGTCCAGCAGCTGTTGGTGAGTAAAGAAGAGCTTCCACCTGAGCAGCAGGAGTGGAGCCACATTCTGGACCAGGAGGACACTAAGCCCCAACACATTAAAGAAGAACATGAGGAACTGTGGATCAGTCAGGAGGAAGAACAGCTTCAAGGACTGGAGGAGGCTGATACCACCAAGTTTCCCTTCACTCCTGTCTCTGTGAAGAGTGAAGATGATGAAGAGAAACCTCAGTCCTCACAGCTTCATCAGAGACAAACTGAACAGATGGAAACAGGAGTTGATGGAGAGGACTGTGGAGGAGCAGAACCAGAGAGAGGCTCAGATCCAGAGAGATGTTTACAACCAGAGATTGAGGTCAAGATTGAAGACTCTGATGAACCTGAGACTGATGACAGTGATGATTGGCAAGAGACAAGAGAAGATCTGTCAGAATTAAACTTGAAAAATAAGACACTAAATACTGGTAAGAGACCACATAGGTGCTCAGCGTGCGGTAAAAGATTTAACCGAAAAGAGCATCTGACCAGACACATGATGATTCACACAGGAGAGAAACCCTTCAGTTGCTCTAAATGTGAGAACAGATTTACCTGTAAGTCTAGTTTGACATATCACATGGCAAATCACAGAGGGGAGAAACCCTTTCACTGCCTTGAGTGTAGTAAAAGATTTAACAGAAAAGGGCATCTGACCAGACACATGTTAGTTCATACAGGAGAGAAAGCTTTCAGCTGCTCTGAGTGCGGTAAAAGATTTTACTTGCAAAATGATCTGACTACACACATGACTATTCATATGGGAGAAAAACCCTTCAGCTGCTCTGAGTGTGGTCAAAGATTTAACCGAAAAGGAAATCTGTCCAAACACATGATTATTCACACAGGAGAGAAATGCTACAGCTGCTCTCAGTGTGGAAAACAATATAGACATAAGGGGAATCTGAAGACACACATGTTAGTTCACACTGGAGAGAACGCTTTCAGCTGCTCCGTTTGCAGTAAAGGTTTTACCCGAAGAGGAAGTCTGGCCACACACATCTTAGTTCACAAAGGAGAGAGACCCTTCTGTTGCTCTCTTTGCAGTAAAGCATTTTATCAAAAAGGAGCCTTAACCCAACACATGTTAGTTCACACAGGAGAGAAACCATTTAGCTGCTCTGAGTGTGAGAAACGATTTACCACGAAGTCAAGTTTTTCAATTCACATGGCAAATCACAGAGGGGAGAAACCCTTCAGCTGCCTTGAGTGTAGTAAAAGATTTAACAGAAAAGGGCATCTGACCAGACACATGTTAGTTCATACAGGAGAGAAACCATTCAGCTGCTCTGAGTGTGGTATAAGGTTTAGTTCTGAGGGAAAACTGACCAGTCACATGATGATTCACACTGGAGAGAAGGCCTTCAGCTGCTCTCAGTGTGAGAAAAGATTTACCCATAAGTCTAGTTTGACAAATCACATGGCATTTCATAGAGGGGAGAAACCCTTCAGCTGCCTTGACTGTACTAAAAGATTTTACCAAAAAGTGCATCTGACCAGACACATGTTAGTTCATACAGGAGAGAAACCCTTCAGCTGCTCTGAGTGTGGTAAAAGGTTTAACCGTAAAGTGCATCTGACCAGACACATGTTAGTTCATACAGGAGAGAAACCCTTTAGCTGCTCTGAGTGTGGTAAAAGGTTTAGTTCTAAGATAAATCTGACCAAACACATGATGATTCACACTGGAGAGAAATGCTAATCCTGTGTAATGGTAAATGTTACATGTTTTGTTGCTGACATATGAACCAGTAAGTTGGGAGCAGCTATGACGTTTGAATGTAAAGGGTTTATATGAAACAGTTACAGTGTAAGGATCCTTCTTCTCTCCTGATATCTTCTCTTCTTTCTGTCACTCTGTTTCCTTGGAGGCCTCAGTGTTGGGTAGCACAAGTTCTTCAGTCAGCTCGTGTGTAACCTTGTAATAAATAAACTGATGTAGAGTGAGAAAGACTTTCATATGAAACAATAGAAATGCATTATAGCCTTCAGTGTGTATAACTAAATGGTGGAAAAAACACTTCAATTGTGTGTATATTTGTTCTGTTATCATTTCTCTCTTTGGCTTCCTTTTTGCTGCTTCATTGAATTGGGGATATATAGTGGCATAGGTGACAGGAAGTGGAAGGCACAGGTAGGGGGAGCGCAGACAGTTCTAACCAGACCAGCATTCATGTTTCAGACCAGCCCTCAGACAATCAACAAGAGGTATTCTACTGGCTACGTTTAACTGGAAATGGTATGTTGTTTTTTGTTCTCATATCCCAATCAATTAACTACAATAAACCTCCAACTCAACTATAATAATGACTGGAAAATCATCACTTAAGACAATAACTGACTAACTGAAAGCTACAATAACAGAACACATCAGCTGTTTGAATCGCTGACACAAATCTCTGCTGTTAATCCTGTTCAGCCACAGGATGGCGATGTTGAGAAGGATTCTGAAAAGGAAAAACGAGTTATCAGACCCACTACAAAAGGCATGGTTTTATTCATTGAAACTGGTCAGAAGTCAAGAAACTCAAAATGTAAACAAGCTAAGAAGTCAATTGAAAAGTTGAAAGAGCTCAAAATGCAACTGATGTCAAATCTAACTTGGAACAATTAATAAAACTGAGTCATTGATGAGTTTGCCACTGCATGAACATGAATGTGAAAAGCAAAATCAATGGTTTAATCCAAAAATGGAAACATATGATGGTTTTATACATGATGGAACTATGTGGTTATCTAAGGACTGAAAACACACACCACTGCTAAAAGTCAAATCTCCACACAACAGAGGTATGTAAACTCAAATCTTATTGGACCTGATGCCAGTGTGTCAAAAGCCTCAAAACCCAAATCAAATCCAGTTCTTCAAGTGCATCTTCAACTTAATCTGCTCGCATTAAAGCTCAGACGGAGAAAGCTGCCTTGAAGAAGAAACATGAGCTTGATGCACAAGAGGAACGATTGAAAAGAAATAAGGAACAACTGGAACTGGAGACTGAACTGGCAGCAACCAATGTGAAAATCAGTGCAGACGGTTCAAGAGTATCTGATGGGATGAACTCTTATTGGAGAAAAACAGTAGCTCAAAATGAAAGATCAGTGAACCAAAAAGCACCTGCAAGTGAATATTATCCTGATAAAATGCAACAAGGACGAGATATGTGGAAGGAAACTGAATCTTTCTCCCAGCAACAGGTTGTTAAACCAAAAATAACAACTCATGGACCCTCAGTTAAATCTCATGATATGACCCATGTCAACCAATACTCTCTTCACGGGAATAAAGTACAGACTCATATGGAAGACTCATACAAAAGCATGTTGTAGCATGTCCTGGACATGCAAAAAGGGGTGAATAACTTTACTATACTTTACTATAACGGAAGCTCACCACACATTAGTTAACTAATTATTGAACTAAATAAGAGCTCACTCCATACCAACCTGCTAGTCTACTCTTTCCTAGTGGAAGGAGCTATGTAAAATTACTCCTCTAACACCCTTTGGAGGACAGATGAACAAGTTATAATCACAGCCCCAGGATTATCTGCCTAACATTCATTTCTAGAATAATTAGATTCAAGGATAACCCCTGGTATAGGACTCTAGATTACCCCCCGGAGAGGGAATAACTGTGAACTCCCCTCGCTAGGATGTTAGGTGTGTGTGAAGCGTGTAATATAAATCAGTAAGACAAGTGTGCCGTGGTGTGACCGCTCAAAACTTACCTTCCGAGGTACACAGGGTCCTTAAGGTGAACTTCCAGTCTTTGTGGTGTGAATGATTTCAGTCAGAAAATTATTTCAAAAAGTTTCCGAAAATGTATTTAAAGATTTCAAATGATATTCCAAATGCAAATACAAAACAGTAAAAGTAAAAGATAACAAAATGGAAAAGAAAAGCAAAACTCAAAGACCAAAGTCTAAACCTGTGAGTGTAGACACTTGAGAGGATCTTGGTCTCAGAGACTAAGTCCCAAGAATCGGGATTCAAAAGTCAGAGTGACGTGGAGTCCTTTAGCAGAGCAAAAAAAAAGAACCTCTATCAGATTTTCTACAGGGTTTTTATAGCCAAAAAGTCTCTTTTTTTTCAAGATCCTGTAACACCTCATCAATACATGTTCGCAGAAACGTGATGCATCCACAGGTCATACCAAGTTCATAACATAGGTGATACGAAGTTCATATGTGGTTTTAGCTCGAAGACCGTGAACCGAGCAGTTACACAGAAATGCTATATGCCTACGAGCTCCTATGTGGTTTTGCTTCAATGTACGGCACACTTATCTTGACCTCACAGGTGCGTAGGCACTACGAGTGTGTGTAAGTTTAACAGGAAATGTTGAAAGTAGAAAAAGGTTAAAAGGTAAATCTGTCTTCTACCCTGCCATCAAGAGACATTCCTGTTTATGACGGTGATCCTTATATGAAACTTTTATCAGGTCATTTGAGAGAGGAGTGGAACAAAAGACTGAAGACCACAGTGACTGCCTACATTTCCTTGAACAACACACAAGAGGGAACGCAAAAGACTTGGTCCACAGCTGCCAACATATGCCTCCAGCCCAGGGCTATCAAAGAGCAAAACATCTTCTTAAAGAACATTTTGGGAAGGAATATAAAATTGCCTGGACAGCAATCAAATCAGATCTGTTCCTCTGAGGTTGCTGCATCGCAATGACACATCTCGCCTACATGGATAAAACAGGAAATAAGATCATGAAACTTGCAGCATACAGCATGGAGGTCAAATGAATGTTCAAAATGAAAGATCAAGTAGCAGGAGGGTTTAAAGCTGTAAATCCAATGAAGGTGGCTGAATCTCTTACATCAATTGATGACGGAGTGGACGCACGTATACTTGCAAGTGGGCAGGTTCTGGTGGTGTGTAAAAATAGTGAGCAGGTAGTGAAAGCCAAGAAAATAGGAAAGAGAGAGAGAGTGGAGGTGACAAACGATCTGGTGAAAGGGGTCATATATGGAGTTTGTGCTGATGTGTCAGAGAGGGAAATGAAGGAAAGTCTCAAGGGAAGAGAAATAAGAGATGTCAAGCGGCTTAAAGTTCGTGAGTGTGGAAATCCTAATGCGCCTGTGTTGATCACTTTTTCTGGAAAAGTATTTCCAGAAAGAGTGTTTATTGGTTGTTTATCTTTCAATGTGAAGATTTATCAGAGACCACCACTGCGCTGCTTTAAATGTCAGTGATTTGGGCACATAGCGATGACTTGTAGGGGAAGTCGTAGGTGTGCAAAGTGTTGGGGGAGATCATGATGTAACAATCTGTGAGGTGACTCTCTCAAAGTGTTGCAATTGTGGAAACAATCATTCAGCATCTTCTCGAGAATGCAATGAGTTTGTGAAAGCAAAACAAATCCAAGAGGTCAGAGACCAGCATACAATTTCTTATGCAGAGGCTCTAAAGAGAGTGGAGGTACCTAACAATATGTCCATGATAGGTGGAGCTGGAGCAACACAGGGTAGGTCCTCTGTGTCTCAGGCCAAATGTCCTGGTGCAGCAAATGAAAATGTGATTATGTTCTGAAAGGAGGCTCTGTTGGCATTTATTGCAGATGTGGTATATGGCACCAGAGATAAGAGGTCAAGATCTGACATAATCAAGGTTGTGTCAGAAGCTGCAAATTGATTTTTAGGTATAAGAGACTTTACCCCCCAAACATTACATACATTCATGAGATCGAGTCAGCCTACAAGCAGTCAAGTGAGGGAGCAAACAGATGAAATGGAGGAAGGAGAGGATTTGGATGATGGTGAATTTTATGATGATGTGGAAAATGTTTAGTGTTATTATGATGCTTTCTATCATACAGTGGAATGCTAAAAGCTTGATTGCCAATGGACAGGAATTAAAAAAATGTATCAGGGACTTTGAGAATAAACCAGATATTATGTGTGTACAGGAGACCTGGCTGAAACCTTCTTTAGACTTTGTTATACCGGAATACGTTTGTATGAGTAAAGATAGACCTGACAGGTTGGGTGGAGGATGTGCAACATCTATTAAATTAGAGAATCAGTACAAAATGGTAAATAATGATGTTCCTCTTGAGTGTTTGGTCATTGAAGTTTGGAGCTCTAAAGGGAGGATACCAACAATGAACTTCTATAATCCATGCAAGCCACTAGTTCTATCTGAGTTAGAAGAACTTATGAGTCAAGTAAACCCCCCTGTTATCGGTGTAGGTGATTTTAATGCTCATACCCCACTGTGGGGAAGCCAGGTGAGGGATAGGAATGGTTCAATCATTGAAGAAATGCTAGATAACTGGAATCTAGTAGTCATGAATGATGGAAGGCCAACTAGATTTCACTTAGGAGAAAATAGAGGGTCCTGTATCTATTTAACCTTAGCTTCTTCAGCCTTAGCCAGAGAAGAGAACTGGAATCTTCTGTGATCCAATAGGTAGCGATCATTTTCCCATCTTGAGTGCTTTTGGGGGATCACTTTTAGTAGAAAGGGTTAAAAGGCCAAATAGATTTAATTTTGCTCGGGCTCTGTGGGATGACTTTAAGGAAAAGTCAGCTGCTTCAGTGAGGGAGGTTAACAGTGAAGGTTCTGTAAATAAACATAACGAAACTCTGTGTTTAATGATTATGAAGGTGGCTACAACAACTATTCCAAATCGAGGCAATCCTAAAAAACCTGTTATAGTGCCATGGTGGAATAAGAATTGTGATCTGGTAGTGGGAAAAATGAAACAAGCTTTTAGAAATCTACATAGAGCTCCTGGTGAAGGGAATCTCATAGAATATAAAATATGTTGGGCATTGGCTAGAAAGACTATAAAGAACTCTAAAAGGGAATGTTG